AATATGTGTATGTGTATGTGTATGTGTATGTGTATGTGTATGTGTATGTGTATGTGTATGTGTATGTGTATGTGTATGTGTATGTGTATGTGTATGTGTATGTGTATGTGTATGTGTATGTGTATGTGTATGTGTATGTGTATGTGTATGTGTATGTGTATGTGTATGTGTATGTGTATGTGTATGTGTATGTGTATGTGTATGTGTATGTGTATGTGTATGTGTATGTGTATGTGTATGTGTATGTGTATGTGTATGTGTATGTGTATGTGTATGTGTATGTGTATGTGTATGTGTATGTGTATGTGTATGTGTATGTGTATGTGTATGTGTATGTGTATGTGTATGTGTATGTGTATGTGTATGTGTATGTGTATGTGTATGTGTATGTGTATGTGTATGTGTATGTGTATGTGTATGTTGTATGTGTATGTGTATGTGTATGTGTATGTGTATGTGTATGTGTATGTGTATGTGTATGTGTATGTGTATGTGTATGTGTATGTGTATGTGTATGTGTATGTGTATGTGTATGTGTATGTGTATGTGTATGTGTATGTGTATGTGTATGTGTATGTGTATGTGTATGTGTATGTGTATGTGTATGTGTATGTGTATGTGTATGTGTATGTGTATGTGTATGTGTATGTGTATGTGTATGTGTATGTGTATGTGTATGTGTATGTGTATGTGTATGTGTATGTGTATGTGTATGTGTATGTGTATGTGTATGTGTATGTGTATGTGTATGTGTATGTGTATGTGTATGTGTATGTGTATGTGTATGTGTATGTGTATGTGTATGTGTATGTGTATGTGTATGTGTATGTGTAATGTGTATGTGTATGTGTATGTGTATGTGTATGTGTATGTGTATGTGTATGTGTATGTGTATGTGTATGTGTATGTGTATGTGTATGTGTATGTGTATGTGTATGTGTATGTGTATGTGTATGTGTATTGATATAGAAACCACCTGTATATCAATTTTTTTAATAAATTTGCCCAGACTCTTAAAAGGGGGTGGTTCGGTTCTAAAAATTTACAATATAAAATTAAAAACCAAATTATAATAAATTAAAAAAAAATTTCAATTTTTTTTCTTAGGGTCCCTGCTTTTCGTACTTCTACTGCTTCTCCTGCTTCTTTTACTCCTGCTCGTTCTCTGTTTTCCAACCTGCTATTTCTGTTATCTGCTTCACTTTCCTTTTAAATTAAAATTAAACTTCTCTTTATCTTTCTTTTATGTTTAACTCCTTGTCTTCTCTGCTCACCGTCTACTTTCTTGGATTGCTTGTTTCCTCTGTCTGTCTCGATTCCTCTTACTGCTCTATCAGTTCTCTAAATTTTGAAATAAAATCTCTTTTTTACCTTTTTATATGTTTTCGTTTATTATATCTTTTCCAAAGCAAATTCAAAATATAATAAAATCCAAAAAGCTTTTTGACAATCTCACCATTTTTATTGACAATCTTCCAAATCCGCCGTTTCGAAAGTTTGTGGAGTAAACCATCATCAAAAATATGGCGCTCGAGAACCACCCGTAACCAGCTTCATTCGTAAGGAACCGTTCTCTCTGTGGCGAGAAAACCCCTTACAGTTTAAGAAAACAAACAAAGGAACAACTATAAAAAACGATAGAATAAGCCACCTCCTTTACATGGACGACCTTAAACTGTATGCGGACAGCAAGGAAAACATCCACAAGCTAACACAAATCACAAAAACCTTTAGCGACGACATTCAAATAGAATTCGGATTAGAGAAGTGCCGAATAAATACAATGGGTGCAGACGAAGGACAAGTAGCAGGTATGGAAACTGAAGAACTATACAAGTATCTGGGGTATCAACAAGCTAGAGGAATAGACCAGAAGCAAAGCAAAAAAACACTGAAAACTAAATTTAAACAAAGACTACAAACAATCTTGAAAACAAAACTGAATGCCAAAAACACAACAAGGGCACATATGCAATATTCGTACTAACCTACAGTTTTTGACTGCTTACTTGGACAAACACGGAGCTTGATCGCAACATCCGCACCATAAGCACAAAATTCCGTAAGCATCACCCACGCAGCTCAATAGAAAGAGTTTTTATTTCACGGGAAAAAGGAGGACAAGGAGTCGTGCACATACTAAAACACAACCAAAACCAAATTACTACGCTCAGTATAAACATAAACTAAAATTAAATTTAAACGTAATACCCTAATTGATGAGGCAAATTTAAGTACATGTGAACCTGTTACTCCTTAATTATAGAAATTTCGTGTGTAACATATTCATTTTATTTTTTTAGAATGGAAATTGTAGGAAATTATGCTGAAAAAAGATTACAGATTGACTCAGATGGTAATATTATAGTGAATTTAGAAAATCCAAATGGTGAAGATTATATTTTTGATTTTGATATACTTAACTCAGTATTCTTTCAAGTTAGAGCCACAGATAATGCTAACCCACCTCATATCGCCACCGTTCCTGTAACTCTGGCTATTTTAGACGTGAATAACAAAGCTCCAGTGATTGAACCAGTAAGTACCTAGTTAGTTCTAATACCGGGCAACCAAGAATATTTAAACCTGCTTTAAAGGCTTATACTTTATAACCTTAGACTAGGCTTTATTACCCAGTCTAAGCTTATAACTTAAAAAGTATACGAAATGTCAATGTCATATTTTAATTAGTCATTTATTTTTTTAGATAGTTTACTTGTCTATTGCATTTTCAGATTATTACACCGAATGAGTTGTTTCAGATGTAGTGTACCTACTAGACCAGAGCATACTGGCGCATTCGTTTGAAAATTTGTTTTAATTCGTAATTTTTTTTTTAAATGACCGGAAAGCTTTCCTGATTTTAAAAGTGTAAGATGACACTCGATATCTGTTGATGTTATTGTTTAAACAACGAAAAATTAATTAAGCCAAAAAAATGCATTTTTTGCAATGAATTAATTTTTTTTATATTCTTTAGGATATTTCGAATAAAAAAGTACTTACACCCATCATCGTATCTTTAACCCTTTAATTGTTATGAATGTTTTAAAATCCGAAATTGACGAAACTTCTAATTTTCTTGAATTAAATAATATACCTACCTTAAAATTTAAAATGCCAAAATTTTAAATTTTTTGTCGAATATTCAAACTATAATAAACAAAATAACCTAAATAAATTTTCAAAATTTTGTTTGTTGTTATGTTCTTTTTACGTTATAACAATATGCTTCCTACGCGCGTGGGGTAAGAGAAAGCCCAATGACGCGCTAAATCAATTTTTTGCTGTTTTTCAGCGGTAATAAGTTTAAAAAAATTATTATTAACATTTTTCATAACACTTTGTTATATTTGCCGATTAATAGTTTTGTATCATATGATTTTTTTTTACTTTTTTAGATACTTTCGATAACTTTTTTATTCATCGAAGTTAATAGAAATGTTCCATCCACAAAAAAAATCATTGCCAAGAGCTGTCTAAGAAATAAATTTTTCTCACTTTTTTTCCAAAGAGATAAAAGAAGACAAACATACCTGCCGTAATTTAAGGGAAATTTCTACCTATTACGATAAGCATAGTTGACTCACCTGGTTTTTATTTTAAGAGAGTACGCAATATATATTTATTCAATTTTTTCTATGGTTGTTAATTCTTTTCCACTATAATTATTTAATTGTAATATTCATTTATTAAGAAAATTTTTATATAAAATTATAGTTTGTACATCTAACTAGTTTTTACATGAAATTAATGTTGGCAACATTCAATTAAACATCCGCATAACACACGTCATGTTTAGTTTTTGACACGAACAAGCTTTCGTTGCACAATTTTTTTTTACAGTTGCACGGTTTTGCTAAGCCTTCAGGTAATGGCGGTTTTATTAAATACAGTGGCTTTATTTGGTTATCACAGAAAACATAACCAAAACCAGAGAAATCTAAAGTGCATTTGGCCTTTTTATCGTATTGAAAAAAAAAAAAGGTTGAAGAAGATTTTACTTCTCAGGCAGTATCTGACAATAATTTTTTCATGAATAAAAATAAATGTTAAAAATAAATGTTTATGTTAATTTTAATAAATAAAAAAGTTATCAAAAGTATCTAAAAAAGTAAAAAAAATCACATGATACAAAACTATTAATCGGCAAATATAACAAAGTGTTATGAAAAATGTTAATAATAATTTTTTTAAACTTATTACCTCTGAAAAACAGCAAAAAATTGATTCAGCGCGTCCTCGGGCTTTCTCTTACCCATCTTATACATTGAGTTGGACGTGAGATAGAAGTACTTCTCTCTAAAAGTACACGCGCGTAGAAAGAATATTGTTATAACGTAAAAAAAAACATAACAAACAATGAAAATTTATTTAGGTTATTTTGTTTATTACAGTTTGAATATTCGGTAAAAAATTTAAATTATAGCATTTTAAATTAAGGTTTATTATTTAATTCAAGAAAATTAGAATTTTCGTCAATTTCGGATTTTAAAACATTCATTACAATTAAAGGGTTAAAGATACGATGATGGACGTAGGGACTTTTTTTATTCGAAATATCCTAAAGAATATAAAAAAAATTAATATATTGCAAAAAATGCATTTTTTCTGGCTTAATTAATTTTTCGTTGTTTAAACAATAACATCAACAGATATCGAGTGTCATCTTACACTTTTATAATCAGGAAAACCTTCCGGACATTAAAAAAAAAAATTACGAATTAAAACAATTTTGCAAACGAATGCGCCACTATGCCCTGCACTATACTGTTACTTGATACATTTGACGTTGTATATTTTTAGCTATTCAGAAAGTCTCTTATTTTTCCTTTCTAAAAATATAACAACTAAAATTAAAAAAAAAAACTTCTTAATAAATATATGAAAAACAGCCTCGTGAAGCGGCAGCAACCTTCCGGAGTTGGGTAGGATCCTTAGAATATACAAACTGTAGATAAAACATAAGACACTGCCCAAAATCACACTTCGAAATTATTTACACCGATCAATCACAGTTGAGAACGTTACAGACATGTCAGAAAGTCCAAATTTAATGTATCAACAAGAATTAATTAAACATTTATTTATTTTATAACACTACTATTCTAATTTATATTTTTCGAATGTCTTTGGATTGTTAACTATTTATCTTCACTGTCCATATATAAACTGATTCCCGCGTTGATCCTCTACCAATATTTATATACAAATTTAAAATTCTGGTGACTTCCACAATGCTCCTCTGCCAAACTAGAAATATCTCGTTATATTTGGAATAAACTAGAAACATTATTACGTTGACTCAGGAATGTACGCGAAAGCGCCTCCGCCATAGTCGTTACATATGTTTGGTCTAAAGGGGTTTAATCGGACAAGTTGAGTCTCAAAGGGCAAATGAGACAGAGAGGGATTTGGAGGATTAGAGCATGACTGAATAATAAAATAGCTTGCATTACATTGCCCCCTCCTTATATTTCCTCCTGGAACTCTTACGAAATTAAAACGGAATGGTTGTATCTGCAACTGAACCCTCTTTAACAATTTCCAGTTGCATGGAAGCAACAAGGGACTGTCTTTGTTTTAACCTGGACGCTGGTCTTTATGTTAAATATTATTTACTATTCATGATTTAATTTTATCTAAATAAAATGAAAATTAGGTATGACCAAATTTGAAAAGGTTTTTTAAATGGTGAAATTTGGTATGTACAGTTTTGTGGTAATTTTGTATTCGACAACTACAATTTCATCATCCTAGTGAATAGTTTCTTCAGCAACAAATTTAGTTCGGTTCAATGGTGGTTTTCGTCTTTTCCCAATACTGGACAAGTATGAAGGGAGATTCGGGAATATACATGGTATTGCTTCGATCTTTAATCTCGGTCTTTCACTTTTTATTTTGTTAACAGTACCATTAGTTAAAATATTGTCATCAAATTTTAAAATATCATCTTCTAAAAAGTTAAGCTCGCAAACAGAATCATAACTACACAGTACTTTATCAGCCCTAGGAATCACATGCTGCCATTGTTCTAAACGTTTAGGATCCTATAAAAAATATTTGCAATGACTAAATTGGAATTCAATAAAGAAAAATAACAGTAGTAACTCTTCATCTAACATCAAAAAACATAAAAAAAGCAAATTTTCTTTTCTAGTAAGTTAAATTTAATGTGTAATTATTATTTTTTATTATAGAATTTTGTAATTAAATAAACTACACTCCGTAAGATACGGGTTGTGACTGTTTTAAAATAAATATATATTTTTTAGAAATAAATACATTGGTCACAAAACACTGGTCGATGTCTTGAATTTAAATCCACAATGGATTCTGGTAAATACAGTAAAGTAAGGACTGTAAGTGCGGAAAAAGAGCAAAATAAATTCCCCTAACTGTTTAACATGATAGGAATTGCGGAAAAATGGCAAAAATACATAGTTCGAAAAAACGCCCTAGGGTCACTACGAATCGAAAAACTGTACCGATGACTGTACACAGGAATGACGCTGGTACCTAACTGAAGTAAAACCATAAAAGAAACGTGGCTGCAAGGAACTATGGAAGAAGGAACGTCTGTTAGTATGGAGCATTCGAAGCACAATGAAGGTGTTGATCGATAAACTCTAATTTGAAAAGGGTTGGTAACGTCTGCTAAGTTACAGTACAAAAAACAACGGTAGTTAACGTGGGTCCCTACTAAAAATCAGGGAAGAACAAGAGAACGAACCCGCTTTACAGAAGATGCGACGATGGCAAAAAGGAAAATCGGCAAGAAGTATCAAAATTCTCTCCAATTGTTAGATCGATATGGCTCAGTGGCACTATTGTATCTTGGAAGAAGACTTACTAAAGCGATTACTCAAAAACGTTAAAGGTTCTGAAAACAGAAGAAAGTTGGCCATTTCAAAGTCTAAAGTTGCCGAAGTACTTAATCAGTTACATGACAGTCCATCAGGAGGATATCTCGGTGTTAAGAAAAGACTTTAAAAAATTTGAGAAATGTTTTATTGAAAGAATAGTTCCTATGTTGTAAAGGACTGTTGTAAGAAATATACTACCTGGTTATAAGTAGTAGACCTTATCAGAAAAGAAATTAACCAAACGGAAAACCGATAATAGATCAAAACCGGTTAAAATTATTTAAGGGTGATCTTTACCAAAATAAAAAGTAGTCCAACCCCAAAATACATCTGATCTTGCCTTTGAAGAATTTATAGGTGCAAATGGAAGTACTAGCAAAGCAAGATATGGTGTTACAACCGAGCAATAACAAGATCTACTCATACTTACAAAAGACTACTCTCTGGTCCATAGCACTCCCGTACGCAATAATGGCCCGCGAGAACTGATATCTGTTTTTCAAAAGAAGTTTGGGCGATTATCAGAACATCAAGGTCAATTACCGGTCCCTGGAAAAGCCTTGAATCTTCGAGATTGATGTGTTACCATTTATAACTGGTAGCAAATAACACCTTCCGAGATCGATCTACTTATCAAGATGTATGAGAAGCATTACTAAGTTTGAAGAAGCACGTATCTGAGTCAGATGTACAGAAACTAGTCATGCCAAAGATAAAGTACCAATGACTTGACTTGAAGGATCATTAGAAACATGGTGGAAGTAAATTGAAAAACCATTGTCATATACTCAGACAGTCAAGCGACGTTAAAAGCACTCAGTTCCATGCAGGTACACTCAAAGCTTGTGTGGGACTGTTTGGAAGCCCTAACAGAGCTGGGTAGTCAAAACAGACTAAGCTTAGCCTGGGTACCAGGCCACAGGAGACACAAGGGCAATGAAGAGGCTGATTTACTAGCCCGAGAAGGAGCCTCAAATGCTCTTATTGGCCCAGAACCCTTCTGTGGTGTAACAAAAACAACTATCGGAACATGCACAAAGCAGTGGATGTTTAAAAAATCTCAGAAGTGGTGGAAAAACTCACCAGGACAGAGACAGGCCAAAAAGTTCTTAAAAGGACCATCGTATAAACTCACCGAGCATCTACTAAGCCTTAATAGGAAAAATACTAGAATACTAGTAGGTCTATTAACAGGGCATTGTAGGCTTAACAAACATATGTTCAATATCGGTCTGACAGAAGAGGCCTTGTGCCGATTCTGTCCAGAAGAAGAGGAAACGGCAGAACACGTATTGTGCTACTGCGAAGGTCTAGTAAGACTGAGATTCCTTACACTTGGAGAAGAAAAACCAAGGGCAACTAGCTATACTAGAGAACTACTTTCCAGTCTATGGAGTCTACTACAAAAGACCGAATTAGACAAGGTACTCTAAACAATGATTAAAGGATATCCACAATAGATCTGAAAAGGTCGAGGTGGGGGAGGTCACATGGCCCATAGTCCTAATTAAATCTTAACATGGTGGAAGTAATCTTCCAAGATACCGATGTCCAGGTTACAGCAAATACCACCCCATATTACTTCCAAGCAACTGAAAATTGTAAATTGTAAAAGAGGGTCCAGTTGCAGATGCAACCATTTCATTGTAGTTTCGTGAGAGTTCTAAGAAGAACTATTTCGTAAGGAAGAGGCAATTTAATGCGAGCGATTTTCGACCAGTCAGGTTATGCTCTAATCCTGATCTGCCTTGTTTGGGCCTTTAAGTCCCCACTTGTCTGATTACAAAAAAGTATAAAAAATAAGTTAACCTCGTGAAATATACTCTAATGGAACGGTTATGGAAATGGGATGACTTTGGTCACCGTCGATTGTCAGTCTGGAAAATACGTAATCTTAGTAGAATTTTTTATACTGCTGAATTGCAACTTTTGACGTAAGTGTTATATACTGTATTTTTAGTTGAGAAATTTTGTAGAAACATCCATGGTGAAAAAAAATAGGTGAAGTGGTTAGCGGTACGAAAGTCGGTCAGTCTTGCGCATGAAGTCACTTTCGAAGCCAATTTTTCTTATGTCTATATTAAATCAAGTTTTACTAAATTCAAATTTAAGATGATTTATTGAAAAAGCACTTATCTTTTGGTAAGCTAAGGTAATAGACGAAATGTAAATTATAACTTGGTATTTCTTCAGGCAACTTCTACAAGGGATTCGGGATTCTTATTCGTAATTCTGCATAATTCTGCACTGTGACTGATCTTCAGTATTCGAACATAAACTGTCTAGATATTGAACCAAAAAAACGTCTAGAGATGAATCAAAAAAAACGTATAGCGATAAATCCAAATCACGTCTAGATATAAATCAAATACGTCTTGAGAGGCAATCAAAACCAAAACCGTTTATATATATAGCCATGCTAAAAAAGGGTTAAAAGACAAGAAATAGAAAATTTGAACAGGATTTAGATAAAATGCTTTTACTATTAAATGAACAATTTAAAACTAAAATGAATAATTTCACAGAGACTAAAATTAATATGAATAGGAAAAATCTTATTTATTACATTTAAACATAGTAAAGCATAATATCCTATAATAATATATAATTTTATATAAAACCAACATGTGTCATTCATTGTTGAGAATATGTTCAGAATTTGACAATTTATTTTAAAAATCCTTGTAAAAAATATATATTTTCAATAATATATCATTATTAAAACTTACCTTATAAAATCAGACGGCCAATAACATAGATTGGGACTTCATGAATTTTGTCTCCCAATGATTATCATGTTTCCAAATTTGAAAAAATAGCTTGGCGGTAAGAGGTTTTCGTCTAATTCTGAGAAAATCGCTGCTCTAAATAGCTACTTCGAGGACTAAGATCCTTTGACCTACAATGAATGCATTGCTAATTTAGGATACAGGGTGTCTCGAAATTAGACGGTCATGTTTTAACAGCGTTATCTACATCCTAAAATAGAAGTAAAAGTTTTTATAAACATAGGTTCGAAAACGTTTTGTTTCCGAGATACAGGGTGTTAAGAGTAAAGTCCTGATGACACATTTTTGTAAATATTTTCTAAACTTTTAAAGATAACTAAGTGAAACTTATTACAAATGCTAAACTTTCTACGCTCTATTTAATGAACTAAACGCCAGCTTTTGATCATCTTCATAGGTGGGTAAACTAGGGGAAGGGGCTTAGGGTTAAACTGTCCTAAGTTGTTTTGTTGACTGTTTTTAACATTTTTGACTACAAAATTTGAAAACCAATATTTTCTTTATAATAAAGCTACTTTTGTTGTATCTCGCTAGGACGCACTATTTTTAAGAGAAAAGGATTTGAAAATTTTATTATAAGTTGATGTTATCTTATTCGAAAGTGTAAACAATAATTAGTAGGCTTGTGGAATCAGAAATTTAATTTTTTTTAACTTTGGAAAACCGGTGACTAAAAAATTTTTATAAAGTATTTACAAAAATGTGCCATCACTTGTAACACCCTGTTTCTCGAAAACGAAACGTTTTCGGACTTATGTTTATATAAACTTTTACTTCTATTTTAGGATGTAGATTACGCCGTTAAAATATGACCCTGTATATTGAGACTTAATTAATAATATATATTTTTATTTTTTTTAAACTTAAGTTTTTGTCATACAGTTATCGAATAATCCTCGTAGGTCACTAGTATTTTATTATTTTATTGAATAACTTGGCCACATTTGAGATATTGATATTTATTTCTTAAAAATATTTAGTTTGCTATTTAGATAAAATAACTTCTATTGTTTTCTAAGTCATTGATACATAACTAACTTTTTTTAGGTACAACCTGTGAGTGTTGAAGAAAATCAGAAAGATGGGGTTGCCCTTAATGTAACAATAAAAGCTACGGATCCTGATACTACGGGAAATCTAACGGCTAAGATTGATTGGACGAAATCATATGCCACTAAAAATTCAATACGCCTAGATATGGACGATAAAGTTAATCAAGATATAATAAAGTAAGACTACTTTTTCTTCTTCCTAAACCTCCCATCATCATATCTCCTCAACCTGCTTTCAAAATGTAACTATATATTAAAACACTGGCTGCTATGACTAACATGAATACAACAAGCATCGAGAAAAATTATAATTGGTGTTTAAATATTTTGGGTTGTTACTTTAGCCACTTCCTCAAAATGATACATCTGTACCATCAGTGAAAAAGTGGATGAGTTAAATTTTAGTAAAAACGACATATCTAGTGAATAATAAATGGGCAATTCAAATTCGCAATAGTTTACTTCAGAGGACGCCGTGAATAGTTGGATTTCTATTTTTTTGTGTCAAAACCGGTAGCTACAGCTATCCACGGATTTCGGAGAGGTTGATCCAGATGATCATTATTTTTATAGTTTTCTTTTCCACTCAAAATATATGTTATTTGGATTAAGTTCACTTTGCTTTTCATAAATAAATAAATAAAAAAAAAAAAATATTAAAAAAAAGTTTGTCCCGTTTATTTGCATTATAATAAGTCACAAATTTGGGGTGAATAAGTCAGATTTTTTCCAGTAAGTAATATAATTTGACAGGTCATAATTACTTACATTTTTGGTTGCATAATTAAGTACCTATTTCTAAAAAAAACTAAACTCAACTTAATATTTCTATTTTTGGAAAACATCAAGATGGTTAAAATGGCCATACTGAATAACTTCACTTTTTGACCTATTCACAGATGGTACAAATTTATTACTCGATATTTTCATTGCAAGCAAAGTTTGTTTTATCTCAAACTGATTCTGCAACAAAAAAAGCAGCAAATAATTTATTTTATACAGAAATCATAATCAAAATTTACATAAAACTACAGAAAATTTATGACTGATCCAAAACCAATTTTTCTCTGCATTCCAGAGCCAACGTTAAGCAATATTAGCAGTGAGTTCTTAATTTCTTCACACTTTTTGTTATACGATTTGTTACCTACTTTTTTGATTTCTACGATGTTAATTGTCCTTAAGAGGTGATTTAGCTCAAATTGCTGCAGGCAGATTCCCATTGACAATTCGACATCGAAATACTCGATTTCGACGGTTTGGTGAATTCCGATTTGCAAGAAATCGTACTCGCATGGACTAAAACGATTGCGAGTCACTCGCCAGCTCTATGGTGCCGAATTGCTCGATTTCGGTAGATTATTGAGGTTATAGCACATAGTTGTAGAGGTTGTAGCCTTGTAGTGGTTTTGATTTCTAGTTGAAGTTTAAACAGTTTAAAGCATTGTTATTGTTGATTATTCTATGTCATTGGTATAAGAAGTTCTTGAGAATTTTGAGAATATAAGTAAAAGGTCTGCTTTAAAAAATAATAATATAAGTACCTAATTAACTGTTAAATTGAAACAAAACAGCACCAGACTATTATTATAGGTAATTATGGTGAGTTTATACACGAATTTAATTTAAGAATTAACCCCTGCTATTGGCTAACTGTTATCACCTGATCAGGAATACCTACTCTTATTTGCTGCTCTTGCGTTAAATTAAATTGTGTGCATAACCATTCCTTTAGAAAGACAAATTAAAATTTCCTATTATATGCCGTCAGTTTGGATGGCATTGTTGACAATTAAAACACGTACTGCGCATGCTTGCTACAAATACTACGAGTTTCGGAATCGACCAAAATGCAGGGCAATTCGATAGCGAATAGGAATAGCAAATTTCTCGATATCGTATTTGGTTGCGAGTATCGAAAGCCATTCGATTTCGCATTTCGCGCTGATTTGGAATCTCACTACTGATACTGCATGGATTCATAAATTTACCAAAATGAAATCAGAGTAGCTTGACCGGTTTGTGGGCCAAAGTCTACTTTACGATAAAATGAAAGATACTATAATACGATAACGACAAAAAAATGTTGAGCGTCACCAAGTTTTTGAGTAACTTGGAAAACTTATCTGATTTGATATGTCCTGCTTAATTGAGTCAGTCTCAGGTACTTAAATTTATCTTTTAGAGTTCTGGCAAATAAATAAAATAAAATAAATAAAATTGACTGATAAACAAAATGTTTATCTTGACCATGTGGCATTCTAGTAGCGGTACTTCCCTGTTGTATGTCGTGGATAATTCGCCTTTGGAACTTATACTTGGAGCATAGAGCTCGCACTTGGAACTTGGAACTTGGAGAAACTACGTAACATGAACTTGGAGTATAAAGCTTGGAGTTTAAAGCTTGGAGTTTCTTGGAGCTCACAGCTTCTAGGAGCAACTACGTAACTCGGGCTTCTTGGAGCCTAGAGCTTCTAGGAATAACTACGTAACTCGGGACTTCTTGGAGCCACTACAGGCTTAGAAATAAAAAGAACCTCAGTAAGAGTAGAAGTACATTTACATGTCACTTTGGAAATCTAATGGACTTATACATAAACAGAACAAATATTAAAGTTACAACGTCTGAACAGAATATAAAATATCAGGACAAATATTAAAGTTACATCATCTGAACAGAATATTAAATATTTATAAGGCCAAAATAAGTTATAACAATAAGTTTTACATCATCTGAATAAGATATAAATTATTTATAAGGCCAAAATAAGTTATAACAATAAGTTTTACATCATCTTAACAAAATATGAATTATTTATAAGTCCAAAATAAGTTAAGAGCTATAGATTTCCGTTTAAACTGTATTTCCAGACTGACTGATTCAATTATTTAGTTGCCTCCCTGCGTATATATCAAAGTATCAAAGAAAGCCTAAAAATATTATTAGGTATGGTAGCTATAATCTATATAACATAAAAGAAAACAGTAATAATAACCGGAACTTGTCAGCATATGACAGTCATAAAAAAGCGAATGGCCGATCCTTTCGGCTTTCCAACGAAATCCAGCAAAATGTTAAAATATAAGGTGAAAGAAACATTACCTGATAATTATCCCAACGTTAACACACAATAAACACATACAAGATAATATAATTATGGAAAACTACTTATAGTAGCTAATTTATCGGCACAAACTACTACATTGAACTCGATAAACCAAAAGGTCAGTTGAATCCACACAAATGGTTTTATCTCGGCGTGGTTGTTTAAAGAAACACACGGTACGTGCGCAAACCGTACTTTGCAAATTTCGAGAAGGAAGCGAGCGGTGGTCGTTTAACTTGTGTTACGAGGGGTTATAGAGAAGTTGTTAAAAATAAATTTAAAATTAATTTAAAATTAAGTACCCTGTGAATGGTACATCTGTTGTTTTTTGTGCTTTAACCCTTTCACTGCGACAACAGCAGTTGCCTCTTTAGGCCAGTGTTGAGAAAATACTGGCCTACTGAAATGCAAATCATCTGGTGTTGCACATATGTGCCATATGCACTGCAAATAAAATTGAAATGCCTGACATGTGTGACAGGCATACTTAAAGAATTAATAGATAATTGCTCGTTTTGAGTAGGTCGTCCACTAGAACTAACCACAGCATTGAAAATAATATTCTTCCTTGTGGACAGTCCCGTGTAACTTTTGCCTGTATTGACTTTTAAAGCAGTCTATTTAGATCGTCCAGCTCTATGTCAGTTGACTGTCCTGGCTAGGATGTATATTGATTGGGATGAAGCGGATTTATTTTTAGTAAGAAGTAGGATAGGCTTATAGGGTGATATGACTTTGGGTTTTATTTCCCCCCACCTGCTTTGGAAAGGTAAATTACTTTCGCCTTATGCCATATTGCTGGGATATATCTCCAGGCAAGCATGTTTTACTACAGATTTTGCATAGATGTGTCATCAACACATCTTTGCCCTTTGCCCATCTAGAGCAAAATTGGATATATTCCATCCGGCCCCGGGATTTGTATGACTTGAATTTGTTGATAGCTCAACTAAGTCTGTGTGGTATTGTGATCTCGGAGACCAGCTTTCAGTCTATTGGAGTTGGTCTGAATCCCTTTTGACTGTAGCTCTCTTGGTTTTCTAAATCTAGACCTGTTAGGATAGTTGAGGCCAGAAAGTGCACCTGAGTTAGTATCTCTAGACTTTCCTCAATGCCAAGTTGTAGTAGATCATGCCTCTTGCATGTTTGGTATGTAGTCTGAATTGAGAAACTTTCTGACGATAGTGCACGTATTGAGTATAATTGGTTTTTGTATTATGGTAAGGATATATTTTGGTATGTTTAGTGTTCGTAGCATCTGTATGAGGTTCTTTGGTGTTATGCCCATTACGGAAATGATCAGCAGTATGACGACTACCTTGTCTTGTTTCCAGATCCTCTTAATTTCTATAGCCAGTGGTGTATATTTGTCTATTTTCTCTCTAAATTTTTGTTTTATGTTGTTATTGTTTGGTATGGAGAATTCAATCAGATAGGTCGTCTTTTTAAATTTGTCAATAAATACTATGTCAGGTCTATTGGCCTTGATTGTCTTATCAGTTTGAATTGTTAGATCATAGTATATTTTATAATGTGGATTTTCAATAATTGATTGAGGCCTATATTGATAAAATGGTGTTTTTATAATATCTATTTAATTCAAATTGATTAACTCTATATGTATTATTTTTGCGACGTTATTGTGTCTCTCAGTGTATTCCGTACCAGCTAATAACTTAAATCCCGCTGTTATGTGGTCGATAGTTTCTGAAGTAAGATGGCATTTTCGACAAGTATCAGATGTTGTTGTTATTGTTGTTGTGGTTGTTGTTGTTGTTTTTGTTGTTATTAATAATATTATTATTATTATTATTATTATTATTATTTTTTTTTTGTGTGTCATCGGCTTCAACTGCTATGGTTATTTCGCCTCGTGTTATGTGTAGGCTTTGTTACTGTTTCCCAGCGCCACTTTAAGAACAGCACTGTTAATTAGAACCCAACAGTGAATGGTCGAGTGGGGAATCCTACCAAGGCATCAAAATTAATTTTAAATAATTAAATTAAATGAAAAAATCCCGGCCAACGGTGGGATTCGAACCTGAGACCTTCCGATCTCAAAGTCATGACTCTAACCACTGAGCCAACCCCCTATTATTATTATTATTATGATTATTATTATTGTTGTTATTATTATTATTATTATTATTATTATTATTATTATTATTATTATTATTATTATTATTATTATTATTATTATTATTATTATTATTATTATTATTATTATTATTATTATTATTATTATTATTATTATTATTATTATTATTATTATTATTATTATTATTATTATTATTATTATTATTATTATTATTATTATTATTATTATTATTATTATTATTATTATTATTATTATTATTATTATTATTATTATTATTATTATTATTATTATTATTATTATTATTATTATTATTATTATTATTATTATTATTATTATTATTATTATTATTATTATTATTATTATTCTTATTATATTTGTATTTATATGCACGCCACTGGAAATAACTAGATAGGAAAGTCATGTGTTGGACCTATCAGATTTTTTACTATGATCAGTTTTTGATACATTAAGTTTCTATATTTGTTTCAGCTTTTTAAAACCCGAAAAAGAATCAAAAGATAATGGAAGAGAAATTATCATATCTTTAATTGTAACGAATTCTAAAGAAACGAAGCCTGATTTTGAAACGTTCGATTCATTGTATCTTAATTTAGTTGTTATAGATTTAAACACTGATTCAGAATTTATGGATAAAGATCGCACTTCAGGTAAGAAATACGTGCTAAATGTGGGCGAAAAAAGTAAGAACATTATTTGTATTTTTTTTTAGTTGGGTACTTTATTATTTAAAATTTTTACACTAAACTTGCAGGAAATATTTGCTAGAGTATAGGTTATCATAAAATAAATTTAAATTTATCAAGATTAAATTAGAATAATATACCTCCAAATGAATAGATTAATAATTAAAGCTACTAGAAAAAATAAAACCGATTTTTTTCCTATAAATTGGGACTCGCATCTAAAAGCCTTTTATATTCTTAGCACAAAACTACTTCTGCCTTATTTCATAGTTCATTTGGTTTAGCATTTTAATTATCCGACCAAATTTTTCTCCGTTATTTCTAGTAGCCGGAGAGCCAGTAACACACATTTCATTAAGTTCGTGAAATATTGTAATAATTTTAATTAATAGTTTTAGACCTACTTTTGTTTATGTGTTTTGACATCAACTTTTTGTTGCAACTATTGTTTTTTTATATTTTTTTATGTATTTTAAAAAATACTCGCATACTTGTTTTTACACCGACCCTGGGATAATTCTCTTAGCTTAGTCTTAAATAGATGAGCAATTACGGGTGAGTTCTTGATATTTAACAACTTTCATATTAAAATGTTTAAACCCACTTATTAGTTAGGAGCTCATTCGTTTTTCCTCTCTATTTTTAGACCTTACCTGATGATGAGGATCTGATCCTCGAAACCGGTCGTAATAAAATACTCTTGTGAGATCCTAAGGACCACCCTCGTTTGATTTACCTTTTTGAACTTTTAACTCACACATGGCTACCACCTTCAACTTTAATTTCATTAAGTGTTTGATGCACTTTGAAATTTTGTAATTTGAAATCATTTGGATGGAAAAGCAGATATACCTGTGTTGGCTTGACACACCCCGGGACACTAGGTACTGCGCATAATAGAAAGGGGTCGTAAAATATGACCCAAAAAACATTTTGTCATCGTCAGCTGTCAATTATGTTGTTCGTAGAACACAGGCGTAACCATACATGGGCATAATGTAACTAGTATTGTATGTTGGTTGTATATTGTATAGAACTTGTATTCGTAGCAGCAGCATTTTGCAATCGACATAAATAAATAAAACCAAATGAAAAAAAAAAATGTTTCATAAAGCAAGAAAAACACAAATAGACTATTAACAACAAAAATAAAATGCACTGCTACGCCTATGTTTTGATATTATCCACAGCTGATAGTGACAAATGTTTTCAACCTTTAAATGTAAAATAACCTAAACTAAAAAGTCTTTTTCACGTTACGGGTACAACAAGGTATGCAAATGGCATGAAAGTAGATAGGAAATACCATAAAGCAAACTAAAGAACAGCCTCTTTATGTGACCCGATTTCTTATGTCATTAGTGTCAATTTTATTTTGTCAAGTTGGTTGCACTTCTCTTGTATGAACGGCCGATACAGTGATCAGCGATAACACTTATTTTTATGTTGGCCGGCAATTAAACCCCGGAAAAATTATCTGCCTTTTTGGAATTAATTTTTTTTATATTTAATTTAGACGCTATTAAAATTTGAGCGTGAATCAAACACTTATTCGGGTCATATTTTACGACCCCTTTCTATTATGCGCAGTACCTGGTGTCCCGGGGTGGGTCAAGCCAACACAGGTATATTTGCTTTTCCATCCAAATGATTTCAAATTACAATATTTCAAAGTGCATCAAACACTTAATGAAATGTGTGTCACTGGCTCTTGGACTATAACTAAATGCCACTTTTCTTCAGTTCGCCATAGAAACAATTTTATAAAAATTTTAAGTTCTTATCTGCTACGTATTGTTAAACGTTGGCCCAGATTAATTTAATAGAGTTGATACGGAGGCAGGTAAAGTATTATTTTATTTTGCTGCTTAGCCACCTCATACATACCTATCATATTGTTTTTTATGTTGCTTAATAACCTTTAGAAGTTGGATCTTAAGCATCTGGTAGTCGAATTCAATTTTTTTGTCTTATATCTATTTTTGAATATCACCTTTTTTAGACGCCGTTTTAGGTATTTTTTCCAACTTTTTCGATGCATTGTCTTGAACGATAATACAGTTGTCTTCTAATTTTGGTAGGGAAATGTCTTCACTTCTAATATGGCATGTAACGAGCCGTTTTCGCTTTTCTAAAAAAAAAAAAAAAAAAAAAAAAAAAAAAACAATAACTCATTTGTTTGGGAATATTAACATAATTTTACGCACATACCTAATATATACACCAAAATTTTCAAACCGTAAATTCACAGTTACAAGTGTTCCTGTCTGAATTAAATTAAGTATCGTCTCCTGATATATGGATTTATACAAACAGGACGTGTCTTCTTGTTGAGACTTCAAGTTCTGGAGGTCTCTCAAATTGCTGGTCACCTCTGCCTACCCTCGTGCCAATTTTAACGGGACGCTGCTCCCCTGCTGGCTCTATACTCCAGGGGTTGCTATACGTTTACGTTGTCAACGACTTCCATTCATGGGGCCTTTCTTACTTTTATTTCGTTTTTTGTATTACGAAGCACCTCTCCATCTAGCACCTCTCCATCTAGAACGTATATCAGCTGAATTTGGATCTGAAATTTATATAACAACATTGAAGCCCTTATCAAGAGCTCAATAGTCGGCTTAGCCGGATGTCTCTTTATTAGTTTAATTTTGTCCCGTCTTTTTACTATGTAAGTACCACACTGTATAATTAATTTTTCCTCGTATTTACTTTCTTAGTCATTCTTACACTACGAAGATTCACTTTCATATAGATTGATAAAGTATTAATTAATAATAGGTTTAAATTGTCAAATCGCTTTTTAACATTAGTTAATACCTAAATTAGTTATATATGGCCTCACCATTAAACTTAAAATTTTTCAAATGTCTGATGTTCATTTATTTATTTGTGATAGTTTTATTGTTGCACTTATTTTGTTAACATTAGATATCATTCCGTCATAAATAATTTAAATTTTCGTTTATAAGTATTTGTTTATATCTACTCGACATTTGTCAAATAATATTTGTACCCCTTTTTTCTACATTGTCATTTATTGTTAAAATACCATAAACATTGTTGTAGTCTCCTTCAGCTCTTTAAGTAGTAAGTTAGTTATCTGATAGCTTTATCACATGTCAATTTGTAAATTTCATATTCATTGACCCATTAATTGTTAAAATACTTTTATACCAATGGAGAGTATGGCTTTAACATCAGTAAATGTGGATACTTATTGTGGTATGGCGGAGTTAAATAATAGGTAAAAGAATTGGCCATAGAACACTTCCTTGAGGTAGCCCTGCTTAAGTTTCTTTAAGAGTAGAATATTGTTCTTCTTGGTTTAGTCGGAAAATTATATCAGTCAAGTAGGATTTCAAGATGCTACAATATTGCTAAGGTAAAAGTTTATTTATTTTATATTAAATGCTTTTTAACATACTTTATCGAAAGCTTGAGCTAGGTCTAGAAAAAATGAGGTGCAGATCTTCTTTTCTTCCAATGTTTATGTATTTTATTAATTATTTTGTGGACTTGATCAATAGTGGAATGGTTGTTCCGAAATTAAAATTGGTGGTCAGGTGTTATATTGTTACTGTCTATCATGGGTTACAATATTTTTTTAGAAGTTTTTCAAAAAGTTCAGACAGCACAGGTATTAGGGATATATGTCTATAGGACTTTACTTTATTCGGTGGTTTTTCAGGGTTGGGTTTCATTATAATTTCAGCGATTATTTAGATGCTCGGTACATGCTGTAGTCGAAATGCAGCATTTATTATATTAGTGAGTTTAACCACAGCTTTTCATTTCAATTGTTTTAGTATTTCACCTGTGATCAGATCATATCCAGGTGCTTTTTTGGAATTGATATCTTCTTTGATTTTCTTAGATTTATTTTTATGCATTACCCTAGGAATTTCTACTGTTTCTGTTCTCTTCTTTTATTAAATCAAGTACTAGTTCTTCGTTCGGTTGAAAAAATTTTTCAACTAGATCTGCAAAGATTTCAGCTTTTTGTTTATTTGATCTTATCCAGTTTCCGTTGTTACTTCACTTTAATTTAAATTGTAAGAAATATACATCTCTTCACCCTCTATCTCAAAAAAGGTTGAGCGCCTGAAAAAATATTTTAAACAAAATGTGTCGCAAATGTTATGCCCTACAATTTTTATAAAAAATATTGACGTCATTGGAGCTATAAAAACCTAGATAATCGCGAAAAACTAATTTTTGTGACTTTTAACCTTTAATAACTTACAACGCAGATATGAGATTTTATGAGACTTTTACCCTGATCTGTATTATTTTACTGGATAGGATATAGGGGTCATTATCAAAAAGTGTTTAATTTATGGTCACAGCTATATGCACGATTCAAAACATACAAAGTACTAACTTTTATCACTGTGTCTCCAAGTGTGATTCTTACGAAAGTCTCTCACTTAGTTATTTCGATATTATGTTTGATTTTTTTTGAAAAAAAAGGTTCACGGAGGAAGAATAATCTAGCTTCGTTATCAGTCACAACCTGATTACCTATTCTTAAAACGGCTGAAAATATCGTATTATTTAAAATTGTAATCGATCCTATACATATTCTAATTATCAAGGCACGTGCCGTGCTAATTGTCCGAAGTATAGTTTTTTTGATCTTCAAATAATCAATATAACGATCATAAGAATTGCTGTCACAAGAATTTCGAACTTCTCCATGATCATATATGAAATTATTTACAAAATGGTACAATAGAGAGCGCTTCAGTCGCTTATATAGGAAATACATTCTTAGCGAGGCTTTAGTTGCAACTTGATTGTTGAAGAGTGCGTGTGTTGAAGTTCAGAGGTGAGTAAAGTGTTTTAATTGCGTATAAAAGCGATTCGTCAAACATACATAATATTCTCCGTTATCATATTTTTTTATAATTTAAATAGTGATTTGATGAATTGTTTTGATGTTAACAGATTATATTGGCACCCTTTACATATTGTATTAAAATATTGTTTGTTTCTCTATAAACTACAGAGTAAAATCACAAAACTACCAAGTTTTTCTTCTCCGTGATAACTTCTCCGTTATTAAATCGTGATCACGGAGTAGAAATTTGATAACGGAGGCCATTATATAGTCTTTTAATAATGTTATATTATTTTTCTTCTTTATATATAGATAAAAATGGCTTCAAAAAAATATAACACTGAGGAAGAGAGGATTAAGAAACGGAGAGAGCAGGTGAAACTAAATATGAGAAGAATGCGAGAAAGGATTAGGAATGATCCAGTTAAGCACGAAGAAGAAAAGCAAAAAGAAAGAGATCGATGGAAAAGAAGATTGGAGTCTGGGAAAATAGTAAATATCAAAGATATGAGCGACAGGAAGCAGCGAGCCCTAAGAAAAAGGTGGAGAGAAAAGGCAAAATCCAAAAGAGAGCAGTGCAGGGAATCTAAGAGACTTAACAGATATCTAGAAGAAAGATCACCACCACCAAGTCCTCTGTCAAGAGAACCTCAAGAGATAGAACAAGCTGCAGATGCTGCAGACACTCCGGAAATTAGTAGACAGCAAGAATCAGGGAAAAAAGAGCAAGAAGAAATAGAGAAAACATGAAGAAAAAGATAGAAAACTTAAAAAGAAATGTGGCAAATTTGGAAAAAAAATTAAGTAAATATAGAAAAAACTATCAAGAGCTAAGAACTCATTTTGGCGCTTCAAAGCCTCAAATTTCTCTACATACGGTTGTATTTTACTATCGGTGTCCATTAACGAATTCAGTTAAACACGTAAGCTGCTGTAGTTTGTCTAAGGAGCTGAGACACGATCCTGCAGCAATATGTGCCCATTTGGTTCCAATTTTTAAGCTTCTTAAGGAAAAAGTGAAGAACCTGAGAAAAATAAACTTTCTCAGCGATGGGCCAACATACCAATATAAAAATAAAAAGATGTTCTACCTGATTTGCACCTTTATAGCAAAAACTCTTGAAGTGGGCTCTTTGAGTTGGCACTACAGTGAAAGTGGTCACGGAAAGGGCGCTCCAGATGGAATTGGCGGTGTTGTTAAGCGCACAGCTGACAGAATTGTGGCTCTTGGAAAGGATGTGTCAGATTTTGATGTATTGGTTGAAACTCTTGGAAAACACATGAAATCTGTTCAAATTATTACTACCAACGAAGCTGATATTGTTTATTTTGATGCTTTACTTCTTCAAGCCGATTTGAAAGTATTTAAAGGAACCTTAAAAATACATGAGCTGTTTTGGATTAAATCAGATCCATCTAGAATAGAATGTCGTTCTTTGACATGCACAGACTGTTCAAATATTATAAACTGCTCTCATTATTACCTTGGTCATATTGAATTGAAAAAGAAATTGATGGTTGATTCGGATGTGGACTCAAATTTAGACATTCCTTATACGTTGAAAACAGATAAAATGAGAATAAGTGATGTTTATGGTTCTAGTAGTGACGATGAAAATAAAGAAAACATTTCATTGAACGACCAAATTATGGAGCTTGAAGAGAATAGCTTCTATATTGTCAGTTTTTTGGACGAGACAGAGTCGTTCATTATATAGGTCAAGTTATACATCATGATAAGACAACTGATGAAATAAAAATAAAATTCATGAGAAGAAAAGGAAAAATAAACGAATATATAAGATTCGTTTTTCCATACAAAGACGATATTTCTTTGGTCGACAAGAAAGATATTGTTTTAAGACTAAGAAATCCAGGAGTTAAACGAAATCAATATTTTTTTGAAGATACGGAATTAGAAAAAATTTTAAACTTACAATAAGCTTGTTTTTGTAATGTTTTTTAAATAAAAATTTGTAAAAGTTCATTCCGTTATCTTTACTTTCCTCCGTTATCATATTGTTGTTAAAAACATTGTTTTTTATCGAAATATTAAAAATTAAGCACAACCATTAATAGAGCTTCAAAAGCACAAACCTAAGAGAACTAATAATAATATTTGTTCATCTGTCAGAAAAAACTCAAAATATTCACGGTTGTTTAGTCATTTTTGAGAATGACCCATAGGCTATATTTAACATACTAAGGAGACCGAAAGTGCAATATTGCTGGCCGATTTGGGCAAATTATGGTGGGATCACAGAAAGAAATTTGGGATAATTTGGCATACCTAACCTATAATTTGATTAGTTCTTCTTCTTATTCTTCGTCTATTCCTTTTGCGGGCGATGTCCTTCGGGACAATTCACCCATAATTTGATTTGTTATGAAAGAAAATATAAAAATGGAAACGTGAAGCATATTGTGTCTTCACAAATGAACCTTTATTGTTTATATCATAGTAATGCTATTTGATACTACCTACATAAATAGCAGATAAAGGATCAGTTCTAAAGTACCTATAATGGATAGAAAAATTCTTAAAACTGCACTAAGGATTTTTTATAACTTATAAGGACTACAACTTAAAGGAGATATTGGTAATAGAAATAACAGCTTTGAGCTAGAACTTCACAGATGGTCGAATCACTTTAGGGAACAAGTATGAAACGAGAATCGGTGAGTTTGCCATTGGTACAATTGAACCAGGAAGGACAGGGGTATTTATATGGTTAATAAATTTAGATTCATGCAACTGAAGCGATTAGAAGTGGAACTGATCTAGTGGTGTTTTCAGGAACATGATTTATGTTAAGAATTTTTAAGAATAATGTAGGTAGGTAGTTAGTTATAATTGCAAAGTTAATGTTAGATGTTAAAATATATTTTAAATTACCTATGCCAGTCTAGAAAAGTTGATTAAATTTACCGATTATTACCACTGTTAGAAATTTTAATTAATATTTCTAACTCTTCCAGGTTAATACGTGGTTTTTTTGTTGTCTTTCTAACTATTTTTACACTATAAAAACCACATTGAAGTTTGTGCCACTCATAAATATATATGTATTCAAAAATTGTTCTAGGAAAATACTGTTATGACTTCAATTTTGTGTAGACTATTCGAATGTGATTTACAATTGAATAAAGAACAAATTTAAAGGCTTTACATAAGTTTTACAATTATGCAAATATTGATTTATATATATTTTAAATGAAATAGAGGAAATCACGGGAGAAGGAAAAAAATAAATATTTATATTTCTTGTAATATTTTTATTAATGGAAAAAAGATAAAAAGTACCTAATATTTTTAAATGCATTACCAACAGAGTCTTCGCTGGTGTTTTATCAATGCAGGATAGCTTAAAATGATCTAAACATAATCGCATTACTGCATTTACTATATTAAAATTGGTCATATCCATACTCTTCGGCCATTTCCCCAAAAGCTCCAATTCTGTATAAACCTTAAATAACAAGAACATTATTTAATTTAGTAATAATCGTTATAATTCACTTCAGTTTTTATCATTTAATCGAAAAATGTTATTTGTATTCTTGTATGCTTGTGTATATTAGTAATTGTTTCAGTTTGTTTCGACATTATTATAAATATAATAGTTTTATTTACCTATAAAGAGTACGGATACCCTTTTTACTTCGTTTTCCACAATAAAAACACGTCTTCACCGTAACTTCTTGACACAATTAAATGACAAATGTGATAGCAAATGGAAATAGAGGTTATGTTAAATAACATCCAGTCCGCCATATTATTGGCCTAAATCGGTCAATTTTTCGGAACGTTTTTTAGGGCGCTATATCCTATCCAGTAAAATAATACAGATCAGTGGGTCCGCCATATTATTTGCCCAAATCGGCCAATTTTTCGGAACGTTTTTTAGGGGGCTATATCCTATCCAGTAAAATAATACAAATCAGTGGACTTTTAAGACAACTTTTCCAACGCTAAAATGAAGGGGCATAAGAGTTTCTACCTTATTATTATCTCTTATTCCGAGGTGAAATCCCTAATATAGTTGGACCAGTTGTCAAGTCAAAAGTAATGTCACAAGTTATTTAAATAGTTTTATGTTAATTTACTGAATCGTCCCAATATTTAGTTAACACTAATCGACATCTTTTTTCGCAATAGTTACAGTTTAACCCTAGATTGTCAGCGTTATTCAATAGTCTTTTGATGCCACTAATACGTTAACTTTACGTGTTCATGTTTAAGGAAAAGAAACTGCTATTACAATTGAGCCAATATATTAACAGTTACAAAGCACTTAAAAAACTTATATTTAAAAATGTTACTGCTTTACTATCTTTTAACATTTGAGGAACCTTATGCAAATCACACACGTTCATCATTTTTTTAATAATTTAAGGACATATGCAAATACTTGCAAGGTTCTTCTTGGATAATGTTCCACAATTGTTGTTAATTTGCTTTTACTCTTTGAGTTGACGGTTCATAGTTTCCGGATAAGAGTGAATTAGACGTAAAAGTAACAAAATGTCTCTTAGAGTTAATGTATGTCGATACGCTTTTCACATTAAGGCTAAAAAAAGCATAGCTACATGCGATAAAATGTACGTACACTAGCAATCTAGGGTTTAAAAGTAGTTTTCAAATACAGTCGATACATAGTCATGAGAATTTTTAAATAAATAAATCTCTATGAAAGTAAATAAAGTCATGGTTTTCTTTTAAATGTAATATGTATTTTCTATTTAGAAAACATATTGATAACCATTATTGATATTAATGACAATCCACCGAAGTTTCCGGACTCTAACAATATACCAAGATATGTTCAAGAAGAAGCCGCCAAGGGTACGTCAGTTGGATTTATACAAGCTATTGATCCGGATATAGGTGATATTATTACTTACAGATGCTTGTAAGTTTATTTCATAATTATTAAGTTAAACAATTATTTTAACAAAAAATTAAAGAAATCGCGAAATTATAATTTTAGTTATAGAGTAAAATATCACAAGGTTAGTCCCGTAACTTCTTTTAGTTTGTGGTATTGGATTAAAAATACGTTTAAATAATTTAAAATATTTTAATTAGGTAAAATTCAAAGAGTCATACTTTAACTCAACCTATTAATTTATTTTGAAATCACACCAACACTAATAAATAACCATACTTTTTCAGACCAGATGAGGATGAATATGACTGGGTAGTTATAGACAAAAAGAGCGGGGCATTTAGCGTCAAAGAAGACGGAAAAGTCAATGCTGATGATCCTCCGTATATATATAAATATAGTTTCAAATATCATTGTTTAGCAAATGATGGAATACATGATTCTGAACCACTGCCAGTAAGTATCATCTCACATACTTACTAAATTTATGCATTTATTTAAGATCTTTGGATCCCCTTTTTAATAATAAATTTTAGTTACAATTTTAAAAATCCACATTTTAGGCATACATGCCCAGTTTTTCTTAAATCACTCTAATTGGAAGACAACAATAAGTAGTTTGTACAACAAAAGTGGATATGAGGGCCATATCGCACGAAAACGAAGTGCAAAATCGTCTGCTTACCACACGGACAATTCTATAGAGTTGTACAGTATATTTTGCTACGATATAAAATTACAAAATTTTTAAAATTAATCTAGAGATTATTAAGATAAAAATACTTATTTTATAAATAATTAACACACAGATTTGATTTGCGAACTTTACTAATATTTAAATTAAAAATAAAAAAATATCTTCAGCCGGTATTTAAGCCCCGAACCTTAGAATGGGACTCAAACTTACATATTTTATGGCTTAAAATTTCTAACTGAACTGGTTTTAGATAGTTGTTTTAAGATTTTCGGTGTCTTTGTAAATAATATAGGGTAAGATGGGACAAGTTCGGACACGTTTTTTTCAAACATTAATATTTCAAAGTTAAGAGAAAATTTTGGACCTAATTCAGGTGCTACGGATACCTTAGTGTATTTCCAATATTTTGTCATTATCTCAAGCATAAAAATACAGTGGTTTCCGTTCATTTACATTTTTCCGAAAAAGATGCATTTGTCCAAATCTGCCCCATAGTGGGGCAGATTCGGACAAGTAGTGGGGTATAACAAAATTCAGAAATTATTTATTATTATGATGAGTAAAAGACTGTATCTATGTTACTATATCTTTTCTGTAAATAGTCAAAATATCTTGCAGTCCGGAAAGCAAAAACCGCTTTTATACTTTCTCAAAAAATTCATTGCAAGATTCCACTCTGTTGGTGTAATGAAATGTCCTTTTGTTGGTCGGGTATTTGACAAACAAATAATCATTACGATGGATTACGTCATCATCCAATAGCATGAGCACATCGTCATTGTCTTGAAACTCGTCCAGAGAATCGGACAGATCGTCAAAAAATTTGTCTCATGAACAACATTAGAATCTGAGGAGTCACTTTCTATTTTTCAACTTTTTTCTTTGATGCCTTCCCTTTGCATTTCTCTTCAACTTTTGTTTTTTTCTTCACTTCACATTCCCTTTATAATACTTTTTTTTTGTTTTTTTTCTTATTGTTTCCAATTCTTGAATTCTTTCTTTCTCCGGTGTTCTTGTATAAATTCTGGATTTACATAGTTGAGACTTTCCATTTGTTTTTCTGGGGGCTGCCTTTGGTAATGGTCTAATGTTGTCGACGGATAATATTTTAATTTTCTGTTTTGTAATGCGATTTAATATGTCATTCAAAATATTTCATCATGATCACTTCGTCAATTTCAGAATCGGCCACATTGCTAGTGCTCATGCTGATGGACGAAGTAAAAGAGTTAGTCGATGTAATAGAAGTTGATGGCAGTTCACACTCTTTCACTCTTATTTCAAGATCTGCCCGATCTGTGGCGAACGACCTCATGAAATCGTCATAATTAAAAATCAAGCCAGTACTGGAGTAGCTGCTTATAATGTTTTTAGGTGTAAAACTTTGCAAATAGGGATCTGTAGTGAGTTTAGCGATGTCATAAATTCCAATTGGTTTTCCAGGATTTGAAATAATAAAGTCGTTACTTACATCTATTCTTAAATGGCCCGTGAATGACCCTGTCAAGGGGTTGCATCTTGTGGGTGCAATAAGGTGGAAATAATAGTAGGACTATACCATTCTCACGAGAATAGTCTATGGCCCCGAGTGATGTGTGTGTTTCGTGGTTATCAAACAACAAAAGAATTGGAGATGCTTGAATACAACCAGTATGTTTTTCAATATGCTCCAATAACTGGAGAACATTTTTTAAAGACATCCACCCCAACTTCTCGGCAAAGCCTATTGCCCCAGGAACTGAACCATACATAAACTGCTTTTTTATACGTACACGAAGGAATACATATGCTGGAGGAATTGTATTTCCCACAGCAGAAATGAAGCAACACATTGTTACTAATACGCCATATTCAGCTGAAACGCACTGGCCCGCTCCTTTTGTCTCTATTTCGGCAATAACTTTAGGAGCCTGAAGAACGGTTGTGACTCTAGTTTCGTCAGTATTCCAAATGCGATTAGGGGGAAAATTATATTTTGCTTGAACTTCTGCATAATTCTTATAAAGCGAAGCAACATTGATTTTGTTGAAAGCTGCTGCTCCTGCAATGCTGGTATTTTCTGGCATGCGGTAGGAAAGTCTCGGGTGACGGCTCATGAATGATCTCACCCACTCCATCTCAGCCATATTATTTTCGTTCCAAGTATCTGGAATTTTCTTGCTCGACTTATTGCATATTCATATGCTAACTGCCGCGTAGACCTGTAAGTCAGCCCATAAAATATTTTTAAAGACTGTTTTAGGTAAATTTCTGCTTTTCTTCTTCTAGAGAGAATATTTGACGGGTAGCGTACTTCGATAAAGAAGATTCATTCTCATCTGAACTACTGCTTTCACCCGAGTCAGTCAAATTTTTCCTTTGTTTTGTTTTTACAAGTTGGTCAAAAAGTCCAAAGATGCCCCACTCGATTTGTCCGAGCGTACCCCATATTCCTAAAATAAATAAATGACAAAATATTAATTTGCACATGGTTCATATATGCCGTTTTATGAGGTTATGTATCGATAAACATAATTTTATCTACGGTAAATAGGATAAAATCATTAGGATTCTCGAGCCGAGAAAACTTACGATAGCTTTATTGAAATTTATAAGAACAACTCTGTTTATGAATTATCTCCAATAAATAGTTTCTGAATAATCGAAGTCGCTCAAGATTTGCATACCATAGAACTACTAGTGTAGAACGATATTGTACTGTCAATATAGCAAGTGTAAATTTGACTTGTCCGGAGGTGCCCCATGTCCGAACCTGCCCCACCTTACCCTAATTGAATATCTAGTGAATATACATTATTTATTGATTGTTCACAAGAAATACTTGTTTTATTATAATTTATTTTAATAAATAAATAATGCTTTATTTTAATAAATAAATAATATACTGACAACTGCCAATTAGTTTGACAGATTTGTCACTTATATAAAATTTTAAAAAACAATTGTAGGTCAGTCACTAAAAAAGAACTGCGATTTGTGAATTTCATATCTATACAGTATCCTTACTAGATAGGATATGAAATTATATCCGTAGACTGAATCAAATAATAACAAAAAAGAATGGAAAAATTAATTACTCACTTAATCAATAAAATCTATTTCTTCAATTCAAATCAAAAAATTTCAAAATGTAATATTGGCAAATCAATAAATTTTGATTTGATTACTGGACATATTTTATTTAAAAAGCTATCCAAAAGAGCAGTAATTGTGTTGACAAGAATCTAAAACACATTAACAAGACTAGCATATTTGCCTAATACTAGATTAAACAAGACCTGTCCTCATCAGTCCGTAAAATTAAGTTTTTTGGATATTGTTTAGTTACTTCATTTCAGTTGGTATTTAAAAGTAACCATTAGGTACAGGTACGCTGTATTCTTTTCTGCAAATACTATACCTGTCGCTCTACGTTTACTCTTGTAATTATTCTAAATACAAAAGAAATACACATATATATTTTTTTAGGTCGAATTTAATATCACTGATACAAATAATAAATACCCTGAGATTAAAATGGATGATGTGGAATCAGTTACTGAAAAATCACCCATAGGCACTGTAGTTGCACCTTTAAGTACAACTGATTTGGATAGAGACGGTAAGATTCAATAAACTATCTATGCAGACAATGGTACCAAATTAAAGTAATAGGTTACCCAATAAATATTTCGTTATGTCAAGTTACCGGTCTTTAAACGTATGTATATACGTTACCTCAAATAGTGGCAAATTTATTGGGCTCTAGAGTATTGACAGATCAAATGTAAGTGTCTTTTGTCAAAAACTGATCTTCTATATCCTGCCATAGACATTTTTGCACCCCCCTTTACTTTTTTCCTTGTCATGTCTTCAGTTTGATATGGCAACCTTTGTAAAGCTAAATAAATTTTTGGCAGGGAGCGATTAAACTTTTATAACAAGCCATTAAAATGTCAATTTTAGTAAACAACGCTTTCAGAATATTATTGTAAAGGGTAGGTATAGCCAAATTCGTATCCAAAAAACATATTAGTATCTTATTTGGTTCGACGATATGCTTCGAAAACAAATTTTACAAAAAAAATAAAAATACACAACTGCACGCTGATTACTTATTCTTCGTTAGGATTTTTTTTTTAATATTTCAACCCCATTAATACCATCATTTTATTAATTTTTTTTAAATCAATAGGCTTCTTCCCTTTATAGAGCTTAATTTTTCCTAAAATTTTCAAGCTGATATCTGTGCGTACCCCTCACATTTTCTCATTCTCCGACTACAATGGACTATACAAAAGCTGAGTTAATAAAATACTGGCAACGTTTAACACCACTTAATATTGTAGATTCAATAAATGCTTTTTGTACAACACTGGATTACATTTAATAATTGTAATAAATACACTAAATATGAAGATTCATCACACTCTGGCCTATACTTCTATTTTCACTACTTAGTTTCTCAAAAATTAAATATGGCCACATGACGCCTAGCTAAATGGATGAACCGGTGACGCCGAAACGAAGTGGTCCTGGTAAATATTACTAATGCCCTGAAAGGTCATTAGCAAAAATAAGCGGCTTGAATTGATACTTCTTACCCAATCGTTTTAAAAATAAATGTTTACCTGACTTGTGACGTATGCTCGAGAATTCAATCGTGCGTCAGGGTTAGTTTTTAAAATTTTTGAGCCCAATTGTTAAAATTAAATATTTTTGTTCAATGTTTTAATGTGTTGAATACTTCAACAATATCATTTTTTGTTTTTGACTATCACGCGGACAAAAAAAAACGTGACATCGGACGGACTGACAAAATAAACCTATGATACTCTTCACTGTATGAAGAGTATAGTACAGTTGACAAAAATGTGGTTTATTATAGATAAGTGCACTAATATATTACAATTAACACTTATATAAACATTTAAACTCAAAATCTCTTTCGAGCTTAGATATTTGCAAACGTATTGACACAATTTATTCAAATGTAAATATGGAAAGTTTACTTTCGAATAACCAAAATTTTTAATATTGATCCAAATTAAAAAAAAAAAAATAAGAAAATAAAACAAATCCAAATCAAAAAAAAATTGTATCAAAAGCCTTCTCGTCAAATTTTAAACAACTTGAAAATGTCCGTTCTATGACACGTTTTTTCTCACAAATCTGAATAAAAAGGGAGGTTAAGAGAGGTTGAAATATTAAAAAATCCCAATTTAAATACGAAAAATGACGAAGTCGATCTTGCCCCATTTTATTTCCTAAATAATATTTATAATTTTTAATTTGCCAAAAGATATTTAGAAGTTACCGAAATAGTGTGAAATAATAACAATGTGGTATACCCTTCTGTAATACTCAGAAATTCGTTATTTTTCTGCATACCTGATGAACAGTCCACGACTCGTTTATAGTTTATTTGAAAATGCATGATAGCACAGTTTTTATGGCGAAGGTCTACAGTCAAATACAACAATTGTAGAGAGTGAGTCACATTTTTAACATAGACCTTTGCGGGTCTGAAGGGAAAGGAAATCGAAGAGTCATAGACGTGCGGTTATTATTAAAAATTAAATCTTCCACATTTTAGTACGAATTGGTTGTCACAAAAATTATTTTCCTATTTTAAAGATGCAAAAGGTGAAGAAAACCGGTAATGATTATCGAATAAGTATATATAAATTCAAATGAATATAAGAGTCCTGTCCCAGTGAAGTTGGCTTAGCTGAGTGATTACTGATTCGATACCACCTTAACATAGTGTCATTTAATGTTTGACAGTCATCTGCTGTAAAACTGTTCCAAATTTTTTGAAGACGGGTTCGCAATTCTAGAACGGTTCTTGCGGGATTTGATCTGAGCTTTTTTCCTGATATGCCACAACGTTTCAATAGACGATAGACCTGGGCTACTGGACGTCCGTTTTAGAAGTTGAATATTGTTTCCTAACATCCACCCTTTTACTTCTTTAGCCGTGTGACAAGCGGCACCATCTTACTGGAAGATATATTCCATATCATTTAAACGCATTTTTTCAATTTGGGGTTTTAAGTTATTTTGAAGCCCATTAATGTACTTATCAGTATTCATAATACCTTCCACAAAGTGTAAGTTTCCCACTCATTTAGCTGACATGGCTCCCCAAATCATAACAGAAGCCAGAAAATTAACTTTCTTTCTAAAACAGTCATTCTGAAACATTTCTTCCTTTGTTTATATGAAACGACTCCTACAATCAACAATGTATACTTTAAATTTGGCTTCATCATTCGAAATAATGGAGTTCTATTGGTGCGAAGACCATAACTGATGAAAAAGAAAAAGAAAAAGAAAAAGAAAAAGAAAAAGAAAAAGAAAAAGAAAAAGAAAAAGAAAAAGAAAAAGAAAAAGAAAAAGAAAAAGAAAAAGAAAAAGAAAAAGAAAAAGAAAAAGAAAAAGAAAAAGAAAAAGAAAAAGAAAAAGAAAAAGAAAAAGAAAAAGAAAAAGAAAAAGAAAAAGAAAAAGAAAAAGAAAAAGAAAAAGAAAAAGAAAAAGAAAAAGAAAAAGAAAAAGAAAAAGAAAAAGAAAAAGAAAAAGAAAAAGAAAAAGAAAAAGAAAAAGAAAAAGAAAAAGAAAAAGAAAAAGAAAAAGAAAAAGAAAAAGAAAAAGAAAAAGAAAAAGAAAAAGAAAAAGAAAAAGAAAAAGAAAAAGAAAAAGAAAAAGAAAAAAAAGAAAAAGAAAAAGAAAAAGAAAAAGAAAAAGAAAAAGAAAAAGAAAAAGAAAAAGAAAAAGAAAAAGAAAAAGAAAAAGAAAAAGAAAAAGAAAAAGAAAAAGAAAAAGAAAAAGAAAAAGAAAAAGAAAAAGAAAAAGAAAAAGAAAAAGAAAAAGAAAAAGAAAAAGAAAAAGAAAAAGAAAAAGAAAAAGAAAAAGAAAAAGAAAAAGAAAAAGAAAAAGAAAAAGAAAAAGAAAAAGAAAAAGAAAAAGAAAAAGAAAAAGAAAAAGAAAAAGAAAAAGAAAAAGAAAAAGAAAAAGAAAAAGAAAAAGAAAAAGAAAAAGAAAAAGAAAAAGAAAAAGAAAAAGAAAAAGAAAAAGAAAAAGAAAAAGAAAAAGAAAAAGAAAAAGAAAAAGAAAAAGAAAAAGAAAAAGAAAAAGAAAAAGAAAAAGAAAAAGAAAAAGAAAAAGAAAAAGAAAAAGAAAAAGAAAAAGAAAAAGAAAAAGAAAAAGAAAAAGAAAAAGAAAAAGAAAAAGAAAAAGAAAAAGAAAAAGAAAAAGAAAAAGAAAAAGAAAAAGAAAAAGAAAAAGAAAAAGAAAAAGAAAAAGAAAAAGAAAAAGAAAAAGAAAAAGAAAAAGAAAAAGAAAAAGAAAAAGAAAAAGAAAAAGAAAAAGAAAAAGAAAAAGAAAAAGAAAAAGAAAAAGAAAAAGAAAAAGAAAAAGAAAAAGAAAAAGAAAAAGAAAAAGAAAAAGAAAAAGAAAAAGAAAAAGAAAAAGAAAAAGAAAAAGAAAAAGAAAAAGAAAAAGAAAAAGAAAAAGAAAAAGAAAAAGAAAAAGAAAAAGAAAAAGAAAAAGAAAAAGAAAAAGAAAAAGAAAAAGAAAAAGAAAAAGAAAAAGAAAAAGAAAAAGAAAAAGAAAAAGAAAAAGAAAAAGAAAAAGAAAAAGAAAAAGAAAAAGAAAAAGAAAAAGAAAAAGAAAAAGAAAAAGAAAAAGAAAAAGAAAAAGAAAAAGAAAAAGAAAAAGAAAAAGAAAAAGAAAAAGAAAAAGAAAAAGAAAAAGAAAAAGAAAAAGAAAAAGAAAAAGAAAAAGAAAAAGAAAAAGAAAAAGAAAAAGAAAAAAGAAAAAGAAAAAGAAAAAGAAAAAGAAAAAGAAAAAGAAAAAGAAAAAGAAAAAGAAAAAGAAAAAGAAAAAGAAAAAGAAAAAGAAAAAGAAAAAGAAAAAGAAAAAGAAAAAGAAAAAGAAAAAGAAAAAGAAAAAGAAAAAGAAAAAGAAAAAGAAAAAGAAAAAGAAAAAGAAAAAGAAAAAAGAAAAAGAAAAAGAAAAAGAAAAAGAAAAAGAAAAAGAAAAGAAAAAGAAAAAGAAAAAGAAAAAGAAAAAGAAAAAGAAAAAGAAAAAGAAAAAGAAAAAGAAAAAGAAAAAGAAAAAGAAAAAGAAAAAGAAAAAGAAAAAGAAAAAAAGAAAAAGAAAAAGAAAAAGAAAAAGAAAAAGAAAAAGAAAAAGAAAAAGAAGAAGAATGTTTCTGTAAATGTGTAAGAGATTAAATACATTTTGCAATACTCCACTAATAATAAACGTCTCAATTTGATTGGCCTATAAAATTTCTTTAGAACATGAGTCACTATGTACAATTGTGGTATTCTACTATATATACAGGATTGTTCAAAGCAGAAAAAAGTAAATATTGATACCTTCTGAATTTTCACTAGATTTTAGTATAACCACCCGAAAAACTCTCGAATACAATACATCATAAAACTTAAATGAGCAAACCCTAAGGGATTAACCAATAATTCTATACCTCAGTGACGGAGAACACGAAATTACTTTAATAAAAAAAATTGTACACTGTTAATATTAAGTACCCACATTTATTTTTATAAAAATAGTATACTAGATATTAGGTTAGGACATTTCCTTAAAAATGTA